ATAAACAATAATAAATAAAAGCAATTCGTGAATGGATGGATTGATATTTTAACAAATAAAAGCAAAAGTGAGCGAGATATGATATTTAATTAAAAGACTAATCGCTAGACGAAGTAAATACATTTTTTTACACTCGGTGTTTGTCTGGTAAAATTGTTTATTAATGACTTTCAATGAAAAATAAACCTTCAATAAACATTAATACTGTAATGGACATTTTAAAACTCTACGAGTCAATGCGTCATCCCTGATTGCCAACTATAGATAAGTATATATTTCTACTTATATATACTATACTATACTCATTAATATATGAATATACATATATATTAATTTTTCATTTCTTCCATTTCAAAGATATATAACCTTCAACTTATTTTATCTTCCTTATATCTGCTAATTATAATGCCTTTAAATACACAAAGAATTATTACTGATACCTTATGTATCAGTTGTTGGAACATTAATGGAATCAATACTGAGAAATTCAAATTTTCTAAACCAATCAACAAACCCTGATTTTTTTATCCAAATTACAAAATTGTCAAATAATAGTTCTTACCGAAACATGGATTAATACTGATCTTAACATCCCAAATTTTAAAACAATCTCGGTCACTGCAAAAAAATTTACTAATAAAAAATCTGGTCGTCTATCGGGAGGAATAACCCTTGGATTCAAAACCAATTTAAACCAAGGTATATCTCAATTAAAATCAAAGGAAAACTACATATGGTGCAAGTTAGACAAAAACTTCATTTAGGAAAAGACATTTTCCTATGTGCAATTTACATTCCTCCACACGATTCCCCATATTTTAATCCAGATATATTTACAAACCTTGAAAAAGATATATGTAAATTTAGCAAAAATGGATTTATAATGCTTACAGGGGATTTAAATGCACGAACAGGAAAAGAAAACGATTTTATTGAAACTAGTAACGATAACAATATACCTGATAACATAAACACATTCCTACCTCAAAACTACCAACTTCCCAAAAGAAACAACTTTGATAGCCATATAAATGAACATGGGAAATATCTTTTAGAATTATGTAAAACTTGTGACTTAAGAATCCTTAACGGTAGAACAAGAGGAGATTCTTTAGGTAAAATAACTTATCACTCACCAATAGGAATCAGCACTATAGACTATTTTATTGTAAGCCAAGACATGCATACCTTTATTGAAGGACTAACAGTTCAACAACCAAATATTTTCTCAGATCACTCTCAATTACTTTGTTGGATTAAAACAAACAAACAGGATCAACTATATCATAAAAATATAGAACAACAAAATTTACTTTTTGACCTCCCTAATCAATATATATGGAGAAAAGATTCTGAAGATTCATTTTGTGCAACATTCCAACATGACGATATTAAATTACAATTAAGGAATGGATCATAAGTAGCGTGCGTCCATCGAGTTATGGATGCACGCGGGAGGTTGCTAAGCAAGAAGAAAAGCGTAAGAGTCACAGGGAGCCCGGCTTTGGGATTTGTACATGAATAAATGAATCAATAAAGTGCTTTGGGTTTCCTGTGTAAGAGTTGCACGACGCGAAGCGGAGTGCAACTCTAGCTTTTTTGAGTGCTTAAGCAACCTCCCGCGTGCATCCATAACTCGATGGACGCACAGCTACTTCTGATCCATTGCTTTTAAAATATAGTCAAGTCAACAAACAAGAAATGAATACGAAATTTTGACTTTATTCGTTGATCATTCCCAAAATTCTCCTTACGCACCTTGCGTGAATGAAAAGCACAAAGGCGCCAAAAACAGAACAAGGCTATATTGCTCTTAGAGCAATGATGTTTCGGCCCGCTAAGCCTAGTTTCAGGGGGTGTGCGGTTTTCATTTTTTGTGTCAAGTGGCTTTGTTTTACTTTTAAAAAGACTTACATTTTTAATTAGCCTGCGTAGCCGGCCCTCTTTTGCATTGCCACCAACACAGTTCACTCTCAGATGTGATAGCTCCCTCCAAGGCTGGGGTAGTGTGATTGAAGGTTCTGACAATCCAACTGGGGGTAGATGGTCACCTTTTGAGGCCACTTATCACATCAACTACCTAGAGCTTAAAGCCATTCAAATGGGTTTAATGTCACTTTGTAATGATTTATATGAGGTGCATATTAAGGTGTTATCAGATAACCAAACAGCAGTGGCTTACATTAGAAACATGGGAGGAACCCATTCTCCTTCCTGTAATCTGATAACAAGGGAAATACTCCTGTGGTGCAAACAAAGAAAAATTACCATTACAATTTCTCATTTGCCAGGACATCTTAATGTTCAGGCTGATAAGGCTAGTAGAGAATTTAAGGATGATATTGAATGGTCACTGGATACAGGAGTGTTCACCATGTTAAGTAGAAAATGGGGACAACCTCAAATTGACATGTTTGCATCTAGGCTCAACCATAAAATAAGCCTATATGTTTCTTGGAAACCAGACCCTATGGCCTGTGCAGTTGATGCCTTTTCATTAAACTGGACAAACTATGGCCTAATTYATTGTTTTCCACCTTTTAGTTTGATAGGAAGAGTCCTACAGAAAATTCAAATGAGTCAAACCTCAGCAATAATCGTGGTTCCAAAGTGGGAGACACAATACTGGTACCCATTGTTGTTGAAAATGTTGGAACAGCCTCCAATTCAGATACCTGTACCTCAGTACACTTTGACATTGGTCCACGATCCATCGAAAGTACATCCATTATACCCCAAATTGAAACTACTTGGGTGTCTTGTGTCAGGAAAATGCTCCAAGAACAAGGCATTAATGGACAATCTCTAGAGATAATTCTTGATTCATGGAGAAAAGGAACTAAAAAACAATACTCTACCTATATTACCCAATGGGCATCATACTGTAGACAAAACAAGGTCAGTTTAACAAAACCTAGTCTGCCTCAGGTATTGGGTTTTCTTGCAGCCCAATCTGCAAGGCTAGGATACAGTGCTGTTGCCTCAACAAGAAGTGCATTATCTTCTTTTATCAAGTTAGATGGAGTTAATTTGGGCGAACACCCCTTAGTTAGCAGATTTATGACTGGCCTGTTTAACAGAAAACCAGCTCTGCCACGTTATGTAGAGACTTGGAACCCTCAAATTGTCCTGGATAACATTAGAAGCTTACCTGATAACTCTCTCTTGTCATTGAAACAGCTGACAATGAAGCTTACTGTGCTTATGGCACTTGTAACAGCACAAAGGACACAAACTTTGAAAGCTTTGTCATTAGATGGAATTGTTTGTTCAGAAGATCAATACTCCTTCACAGTGCTGGATGTACTAAAGCAGACATCACGGCATGGAGGACAAAATAGACATCTAGCACCAGTAGTCTTCAAAAAATTCCCTAATGACACTAAATTATGTCCTTTTAATTGACTTAAAGAATACATTGCCAGAGCAGCTAGTTTAAGATCATCTCAGCAGCTTCTGATTTGTTACACAAAACCACATGGTCCAGCTTCCCGAGACACGATAGCTCGCTGGATCAGACAGTCACTGAAGGCTGCAGGAGTTGATACTACCATTTTTAAACCCCATAGTGCCCGCAGTGCTTCAACAACTGCAGTCAGTTTGGCAGAAGTTCCAATAGATGAAATTATGGCTGTAGCAGGATGGTCAGATTCTGTGTTTACAAAATTTTATAACAAGCCTGTTGCGTGCTCAGAAACCCAGTAATTTTGCAGAGCTATTTTGAGTTCATGAATATCAATTGTATGCCAGTATTTCAACCTGGTGCATCGTTATGATTAAATATGCATATGATACAATTATGGGCATGTGTGTACTCTTGTTTTATTTTGGTGCCCATGAACTCTAAAATCTCACGTGACCTCTGATTGTATGCAAATGCGAGGTACAATTGAAAAATTAAACGAGACTTACCTGGAAGTTGAAGTTTGATTAAAATTCTACCGTAGCATTTGCAGAAATGAGGAGGTCACATCCCACCCATATGGTACCCAACCCAACTACTGGAATCTATATTTTGGCCACCAAATAACTTCGTCTTTAAAGCCTGAGCTCGAAGTGCATGCTTGCTATCTCACGTGACCTCCTCATTTCTGCAAATGCTACGGTAGAATTGTAATCAAACTTCAATTTCCAGGTAAGTCTCGTTTAATTTTACAATTTTGTCTTATCCTAAACAACAGACTTCAATTCCATGTATTAGAACAAAACTTACTACACAAATCTCAAATTGGCTTTTTACCAAAAAACCGAACATCTGATCATATTTTTTCACTAAAGACAATAATTGATAAATATGTAACATATTCAAAAAAAGGAAAACTTTTTACTTGTTTTGTAGATTTCAAAAAGGCCTTTGATTCCATTTGGCATGAATGTCTTTCATATAAACTCTTAAAATATAACATAAAAGGAAATTTTTATGATATCATTAAAAGCATGTATTCCAATTCAGAATGCTGCATAAAAAATATAACCCAAAGATCAGATTTCTTCTCATATAATAGAGGAGTAAGACAAGGCTACATGATCTCACCAATGTTATTCAATTTATATTTAAATTAACTGCCAAATATTCTACAAAATTCAAAAGAAACAGATCCAATAACATTACCTAATGGCTCAAACCTAAATTGTTTACTTTATGCTGATGACTAATCTCACATTCCTCCCAAGGATTACAGCATGCAATCAAAATCCTTTCTGAATACTGTAAAAAATGGTTACTAAATGTAAATTCAAAAAAAACAAAAATTGTCATTTTTCAAAAACAATGCCGAAAATCTACAATTAATAAACATACTTTCACTATTGATAACAACAATATTGAAATTGTAAATAACTACACCTACTTGGGAGTAAATATCTCAGCTAATGGCACATTCAAAAAACACAAAGAAAAACTTAAAAGAAAAAACTAAAAGATCAATCTTTGCAACAAGGAAATACCTAAATTTCTCAAAATTTAAAATCAATATTATTAATAAACTGTTTAATTCACTATTTCTCCCAATTCTTACTGCTCTGAAGTATGGGGCATCTACGACAAAAATGACTTAAATAAGTGGGAAAAAGACCCGATCGAAAGAACACATGCATACTTCTGTAAACTAGTATTAGGAGTTAATAAAAGATCACCTAATGTGGGAGCGCGAAATGAGCTTGGAAGACTCCCACTAAAATATTTTATTGACACAAACATCATAAAATTCTGGTCCTATCTACAAAATAAAAACAAAAATAGCATTGCACATCAATGCTTGATCATTTCCAAAGAACTGACAGAAAATAATAACCCAAGCCTACTTCAAAAAGTGAACTCCCTCATCGTCAAATACCAATTAAATCCAACATCCCTATCAAATAACAAACAAAAGATAAATAACATAATCTCAGACATAAAACAAAACGCGAAAACTCATCTAGAAAACCATCAAATGAATTTGCTAAAATCAAACAAAAAATAAAATTTTTACTCAACATTTAAAAAAGACACAAAACAGACTGCAAACTTAGACTACATTAAAAACCTAAATCACAAAAGAACAATCTCCAAACTAAGAATAGGAAACCACAACCTAAGAATTGATCAAACCGGTAGACATACAAAACCTAAAACACCAAACCATCTTAGACTATGTACCTTCTGTAATGAAAACAAGATCGAAGATGAATTGCACTTTATACTATCATGTAATTACTATGCTACTGAAAGAAACAAACTTTTCAATCAAATAAAACAACAACTATCATCAATTTTCTGAACTTGACGACTCAAACAAAATAAAATTTCTTTTAAATAGTATTGATCCATTCATCTGCAACTCTTTTGCAGCTTTCGTATATTACTCTATAACAAAGAGAAATAACACAAATTAAGTCTTAATTGCAAATATTATCAAGTTAAATATTATATATAATATCTAGATTGTTACTGTTCTCGCACAGTTATTTTACCATAACTTTGTAAAATAATTACATTGACATTATTAGTCTATAAGCAATACCATGTAAATCTTAAATTACACTACCGTCAAGATTATAAAACAGCCACATAATAAATATTGGGGAAAAACAAAGTTACACCGAAAAAAAAAATTGGGTAATTCAGCACAACGATAACACAACGATGTTTCCACTTCGACGACGAAAGCTTGCATTTTCTTTAAAGTTGTGTGGCAATGACGTCTCAGTTGGTATATCAAACATGTGAGATAGCATTGCGCCTGCGCCGCCTTCACAAGCGATCAGTTAGGAGTTTTTTGAGGGGGAATAATTTGCCTCTCAAAATGCCCGATAACAGCACAAAAATCGACCCTAATGACCAAAAGCGGAGCAAAGAGGTTTCTACGAAGAAAAGGAAGCAGAGAATCGAAGAGGACTCCCCGGCTAAAGAGCATATCGAAGTCCAGGTAGTGGAGAAGGAAAATGGCGCCAAAATTGGTGTCCATACAAATCCTGTTGACAACTCAGAAAAACAGCTCCTCTMMGATGTAATGCATGAAGGGTTTGCTCAGCTTTCCACGAAAATGGCTAATGCCATTTCGGAGGCTTTTCAGACACTGAGAGGAGAGCTAGAAGTCGTCCACGACGATAATGAGGAGCCAGAAGATCCAAACATTTACAGACAACGAGGACGAGGAACCCCCCGCGAAGAAGCKCTGTGAAAAGGTCAGCGACGATACTAGTATAGACGTTGATACGTCTTTGGGTAATTTAATCGGTAGATCCACCAAAAACAAACCAGCCTCTAATGAGGAAAAGAGTGAAGTGCTTAATAGCCTCAAACARGAACTTCAGAAAGAGGAAACAGGTCCTGATGTGGACACTGAACTCGCGAGCATAATAAACTCTCTGATTAAAGACGGGCTGACGGAGAAAAAACTCCAGGAAAAAATGAACAAGTACTATCGCCCAGCTAACTGTCAACACTTGGCCAAAGTAAGAGTAAATCAGGCAGTCTGGGATAATTTGAGCCCAACTGTACGCTCTCAAGACGTAAAATTGCAGAAAGTGCAAACGTCTCTATTCAGAGGCATGTGCGCCTTGACAATCATGATAGATAAACTGCTCGCCAAGCTGTTATCGATTCCCTCGGGAAACGAATTACTCCAAGGAGCTACTATGGCGCGCCAAACTAGACAAAAATACTTCCATGTATAATTTGTAAGACTTCCTACACATAGATAAACATTGTTTAAAATATATACTACTTCTAATGGAATAGTAAAACATTGATCGAAATATATAATACTTCTTACGGTATATAAACATTGATTGAAATATATAATACTTCTTACGGTATATATAAACGTTGATTTAAACATTCTTAAAAATAATACTTGAAATCCGAAAATACGACTTACTTTTCTCTCAAAATATGATACTTCAGTCGGAGGAAAATATAATACTTAGCCTGCACTATCGATCTTGACCAGCGGATATTCCACATTGGAAAAGAGATACTGGCACTAAGGATTTTCCCGCCTTTTCTYGCTATCTTTCTTTGCCATCGCAAAAACAGGGCGGAACCCCATTGTAAACAAACTTATGGAAGTAGTAAATTCCCTTATTGAAAAAAACAGTAATACAAGTAATTCTGATGTTCCAAAAAGAATTTCTCCAGAGTCAGATAGAGAAAGTACAGAGTCTGCTTTGCGTCGGCTGTATCCTAGTGTCAGGGGACAGACCTCCGAGACGATCATTGAACGGCTGATAACTTCCACTAGTACAGGGAGATCTTTTAATCCTAGAGCAAAATATGATGTGAAAAAAAGGGAAGAAGAAAGCAGTGAAATATTCAGGAACCAATATTCAAGAAAGAAAGACAGTACTAAAAGACATCATTCTGCTTCCAAGTCCTAAAGTACAGGAAGTACCTCGAGGCCTATTTAGAGAATCGTTGTATTCYAAAGACTWTGCAAAAAGTGCGATACAAATAGCAGATGATATGTCTGAAGAAGAGGTTAAAAACACAATTGATGAACTATTCGAGTCTGCCCTTCTCAGCATCCAAGAACCAAGATACGAGTTTGTCAGGGCCATTGGGAACAAAATAATATCAGTGCCCAATGGTCCATTCACTGGTAAGCTTGTGAAATATTTATCCAAGCAAGGGCCAGTTTACATAAGAGCTAAGAAAGATATTTTGCATGACGGAGGCTTTAAAAGATGGTACAAGGCTGGGGAAATAGAAATTGACGACGACACAGGTAGCAGTGATGATGGGAGTCATGATGATGGTGATGAACCAAAGAGCAAAAAACCAAAGTCACAAGTGCAACCATCAACAGGCAAGCAAAACATGTCTCAGGACTCGAGAACATCGGCCAGTACTTCAATCAGCACTAAGTAAGAAAAATCTTTAAATGTTATGTTTGTCATCAAAGTACCATTTCCATCAAAAAGCTTTTGCAACCACTAGCTAGAGCATTTGAACTGTTTACATTGGACAACAATGAAGCAATTCATTGTGGTTGACTAGCATCCTTTCGTTATCTATTCCCCTATTTTACAGCTTGATAACCATTCTTTCCTTTCTCCAGTGATAGTGAGTCTTCAACTTCTTGTTCGTATACCAACTATTGCAACATCATTGTTGGGGATGCAATTTTGGATTCTGATGATGAGAATCTACAGCTGATGGCAATCGATGAAAACCTTAGTGACAGTAATAAAGAGATGTAAGTGAATATTTTTTAAGACTATTTTTCAAATTATGTAATGTCATAACCTCTTTATTTCCTGAGGGGAAATTACAATTCACTACTGATATGTACATAGTGTCTAGATTACTCAAAAATTACAAACATAATATTGATGCACAATGTTAATCAATTCTAATATCTACATAGGATAAAGACTAAAACTAAGCTTAAATAAAATTTTTTTAAAAAAGAGAAAAAAGGTAGTACCTAAACAAATTAATAATATTAATTTGAAATAGACTAGATTTAAAGAATGTTATAGAAAGGTAAAAAAATATATTTATAACTAAACTGTAACATTTCACAATGTAGGAATGGTAGCAAAGACCAATTTTGGATTACAGATCAACAGCAGGCAAGTGATGAAGTGATATTCAATAGCAAAAATTTAATTGTTTTGATTTGATAACACAAATAAAACAACAATAAAATAAGACAACTTTGGTCCTTTTTTCCAGGATGCTAGTACTAGAACAAAAAAATTTTTGAGTAAACTTCAAGACAATGGCAAATTGGAAGCCAGATTGATGAAAGCTTTGGTGGAGGTGGGAGAAGAGGGCTGCCACAATTTATAAAGGATCATGTTACAGATAGCAGCAAGCCACATGTTAAAGCATGCAGAATATTAGCTAGTGCCAAAGATGAGGAAGTTTCAACCATTCAGGAACATCTTATTTCCTCTTACCCAGACACCTTTGCTTTTGGCACAGAAAACATGGGCCTTCAGGGGCATATCATGACCATGGCAACAAGCTCCATTCTTAATATGATGAAAGAAGTGGACGACTTGAAAAAGTAAATCTATATGAAACATTTAATATTTAAAAAACAATTTCAAATTATAAATCGTTGCATTAAAATTATGTATAATTTTGTATAAAAACAGTAACAGCAATCAAAAGATCAAACACATAACGAAGAAGTAATGTCTAAATTAAGTTTATGATTCTCAAAATTAGTAGTATTACACGTAGTTGGAAGAAGGTTGTCATAGGAAGAAATAGCATTAGTAATTTAGTGAGAAATGAATAAACTAAAAGAGAAAACAAAAGGTTCAGTTTCAATGATGTTCTTTTAAAGRCATTAAAAAAGTCTTTATTCCTTTCTCTCTAAATTTCAAAATGTTTTATTTTTATATGACAAGGTTCTAAGTTGCAAGAAGGTGTAAAAAATGTCATAGATTTGTACCTTGAGATGCCTTTTTCATGAGCAATCCTGATTAGGGAGCATTCATTTTTTAGGAGGGGGGGTCAACAAAAAAATTACCATATGAAAAGGGGTGGGTCACATTTTTATTATGACAGTTAAACAGAATTTTTTTAAAGACAGTTATATTTGGTAGTGGGGTGGGTCATCAAAATAGTTCAATTCCTTACCAGGGGGGTTGGCATTTTTWAAATATTTGATTCCTGCAATTCCTCCTCCTCCTCCTAAAAAATGAATGCTCCCTTAAATATTTATTATTTTAAAAATATATTTTGCTCTTCATACAGGAAATCATCATCAGAAATCTTGAGTGGTATACAAGTAAACCATGAAACAGAAGATTTTCAAGTGATAAGAGTAAGAAGGAATCACATCTGGGAGGATTCCCTCCGTGCCTTCAAAAAGCATTCATTTTCCCACCAAAAGCTCCTGAGAATTCATTTCATTGGTGAGGAAGCAGAAGATGCTGGAGGACCTAGGCGGGAATATTTGCGTCTGCTTATGAAAGAACTAGCAGAAAAATCTGGAGTGCTGGAGGGCCCTGAAGGTCATAAAGTTGTTACTGCCAATTCTCTTTTAGTTTTCAACAAAGAGTATTTTTATGCTGGTCTCATGGTTTCAGTGGTTTACAGTCATTTCGCCCACGGACCATTTCGCCCACGCCAATTCGCCCACGCATAAAATCATCGCTACCATTGAAAATTACCAAAACAGAACTTCGATGAGACTTGTTAAAAAGAAACATAGTCTCTTGAAAGACATTTGTATATGATTTTGAAGCATATTTGGAGCGATCATTTCATGATACGATCAGTGAAAGTGGAGATCTAAACGCGACCAAGGACAGCGTTTACTTAATAGCTACCATATTGAGTCCGAGTCCATTTCTACCAACTTATGACTCGGATGACTTTATTTCCCCATACTCTAATCTATGAACTGTGTGCTTTGGGTAGCTTTATCATTTTTATGATTTTTTAACTTGCCAAAGTTCGAGAAAAATACAAAATACCTTATGCGCGAAACATCGATCGACAAGCGACGCCATATTGTTTTCGTATAATCAACAAGCTTTTCCTAGTCGTTTACTGACACTTTCTTTTCTTGAAATCCATTAGACTTTATTATTTGCACTAAAAAACTAAGACGAAATGATCTAGCGACTTTGTCTGGAATAAATGTGAGGCCATTTAATATCTGATGTAAACGCCAAAAACTTAACGATTGAGTGGATCAATCGAGCTCAGTTTACGGTGTTTCATAGGCCGGAGTCTTTTCGCTACCAATAAGTTTTTTAGTCTCCGAAGATTAGTTTGTTGAAAACATTACAATATCTTTTTTCTTCATCGAAAAATCGAATGTTTAGGACATATTTATTGCTTCTGACTTGCCAAGGTTCGAGCGAGAAAAACCAAAATACCTTTACGCCTATTAAACATCAATCGACAAGCGACGCCATATTGTTTTCGTGTAATCAACAAGCTTCCTAGTCGTTTACTGACGCTTTCTTTACCTAGAATCCATTAGACTTTATTCTTTTCACTAATAAAGTTAAAGGAAAAGATATGGTGCTTTGAGATGGGAGATGTCGTGTGTTGCTGAATCTGACATCTACAAAAAAATATTAGACAAGCTTTTAGACAAGCTCACGAAAACAATATGGCGTCGTTTGTCGATCTATGTTTCGCGGAAGGTATTTTGGTTTTTCTCGCTCTAACCTTGGCAAGTCAGAAGCAATAATATTAAATATGTCCTAAACATTCGATTTTTCGATGAAGAAGAAGGATATTGTTATGTTTTCAACAAACTACTCTACGGAGACTAAAAACTTATTGGTAGCGAAAAGACCCCGGCCTATGAAACACCGTAAACTGAGCTCGATCGTTCCACTCAATCGTTAAGTTTTTCGCGTTTACATCAGATATTAAATGGCCTCACATTTATTCCAGATAAAGTCGCTAGATCATTTCGTCTTA